AAACCATTTCAGGTGACTACCTCTTGAAGCTCATGGAGAGAATGCCAAGAGTGTGCAAAGCAGTAATCAGAGCAAAGGGTGGCTATTTTGAAGAAACTAGAATATAAAACATGTTTTCAGTTATTTCACCTTTTTTTGTTAAGTACATAACTCCACATGTGTTCATTCATAGTTTTGATGCCTTCAGTGAAAATCTACAATGTAAATAGTCATGAAAATAAAGAAAACGCATTGAATGAGAAGGTGTGTCCAAACTTTTGGCCTGTACTGTACTTCGTGCAATGCATATAACCTTTTTATAGATTTGTTTTTAAATGTTAAAAAACAAAGCACAATAAATCACTTGGATGACAACAGTGACGAAAACGTGGATTAATCCTTGTTATCTCTATACTTTATCAACTTTCCATTGGCAATGTACTGCTCGTGTGATTATAAAAATATCAGATCATAAAAAAAGCGACAACTGATGACAATTGCCAGAGCAGGAACAGCACAAAACTTAACATTACATCAAAGCGGGGATGCAGAGGTTACCAAACGTCAAACGGTTTTTAATACAAAGAAAACAATTAAATTAATAGCATGCACTTAAAAAAATGTTGAGCAATTGCATGATTTTACCTGTTGCCACTTGTTAATTATTTTCCTGTAGTAGGTTAAATATGATTAAGCTAGCCTGGTTCCAGACCATAGACCCCGCCCACTCAACTGAGTAGGCTTGCATTACTGGTCTGGCATACTTCAATGAATTTGCGATTTATCTCGTCCAAACGATGGACGGACCAATGAACGCCAGGGGTCTAACGATTAGCCAATCAGCGCCACGCTGATGTCAAGCTGTACGCCAGTGGGTAACTGGTGAGGATAGCAACAATGGCGACCGCTACAGATCCTACAGACCACATTAACGATAATGCGTTAATCGCGTTAATGGAGGACCAAATTAAGGAAGCTGCTAAACTGGATTTAACGGCGATGCAGCTGGGCGTGCACGACGATGGAGACATTTTAAATGGACAATGCTCGCTTGTTTTCGGCACCCCCGAGGCATGGATACTAATGACGTCAGATTCTGGGTGAGTCGTTGATCTCTACTGATTGGTTAGGGAAAAATCAAATTCCCTCCCCCTTGTAAATCGCCTTCAATGGAAGCCATGTCAGACTGAAGGTTCTGGGAGCTTCAGTCTGACACTCAGGCTATGATTAAGCACTTCTCCACTCCAGCTCACATCACCATCTGCCCGCTTGACTACCATGGGGGCTAGAGCTTTTAGCCATTCTGTCCCTGCCTCTGGAACTCCGCCCCCACGACATTCGCAATATTGACTCCCTTCCCACTTTCAAATCCCGTCTGAAAACACACCTTTTCAAGCTGGCTTATATGGTCTGATTTAATGGAGAGACATATATGACCTGCACTGATGATGATTTTATAATGATGATATAATTATTTATATCTAATATTTCTAATTATGCTTTTTGTCTAGTCATTCAATTAACTTTTATTATTGACTACAAAATTGTTGAATTTTATGATCTGTGGATACAATACATTATTTAGCCATTCAGAACTCACTCAAGGTCATCTGCTAGCCCTCCTTCAGTAGATGCCTGTAGTCTACTTAAATGCAAAGGAACGCTTGATGATTTGATTTGGTTAGTGGGTGTCAATGTAGGTTTTTGTATTCCTGTGACTGGCAGAGACCATTGCACTTATCTCAGAAGTAAAGTGAGTTCCTAGGTGGTGCCCAATGGGATGAGTATAATGCAGAGAAGAATAAACCCTCTGGAAGTAATGAAATATAATCTTAACCAACACAGAAGCTCTTGAAAACCCAAAGTCTGACCTCTCACCTGAACACACCACAAACACACTTAGCGATAATGGTTACTCACATATCATGTGACACTGTAAAGCCAGGGTCATGAAAGGAAAATAAAGTTAGTGCAATTTAAATAGCTGCTAATCTCCAGAGCAATCTCAGCACCTCTGGTTCAAGGTCATGTGCAATGTTGAGAAATATAATGCCTTTCAATACACCAGTAAGCGAGGCAAGGCAAAGATTGTCATGTGATATAAGAACATTTCACAATGCATTATTTCAGTGTAAAAACTAAGATATTTAATCTCATTTAATAGTCATTTTTGGATTACATCCAAGTCTAAGGGGCTCCACCACCATGCCGTCCTTCTGAGCAAAATTTGCATGTTCTTTCAGTGAGTGGGTTGACATGGACAGTTTAATTCCCCTTTTCATTCGGAATAAAAGTTCATTCCTATTAAAAGTGATCTTGTAAATACCTAATTCGGAATGAAAATGGCCAATGCGATTGAAAATTCATTCTGGGGCGTCGGTAGCGTAGTGGATAGTGCCGGCGCCCCATGTAGAGAGGTGATGCCTCACTGCAGCGGTCGCAAGTTTGACTCCAGCTTGCAGCCCTTTGCTGCATGTCATCCCCCACTCTGTCTCTCTCCCCATTTCACACTCTTCACTCTATTGTGTCCATTAAAGGCGAAAAAATTAATTCTGATGTAAGGGGCTGGAATATTCTGTAATTCTGTAATTTCGGTCTTTCTGCGCATGCTCGTTTCCTTGCCCTTCTGGCTCGATGACGTATATAGCATGCGCGACCGGTATGTGGCAACAGGCTGAGATAGAGCAGTCGGACTCGGTCTTCTATCTCCCTTCTTCGACCTTCTACCTCCCTTCTCCTCCTCAACAGACGAAGCATTAGCAGAACAAGGTTGTTGTCGTACTGCTGCTTCAAGAATATAAGCAAAACAAGCCAGAAAAAGGCACTAAGAATGGCGTCGTCAATCCGGAACAAGGACTACAGTGTTTTCTTCCGGTAAACGTAAACACGTAACATCCACCCCGCCCCCTATCCAATCAGAAACCTTTCCTGCCCCAAACCTTGCGCGGACCCGAATAAAGGCGATTAAACTGATCTGTGTAAACCCTCATTCGGAATGAATATTTTCCATGTAAACTACCTGGAAAAACTTTAATTCCGAATGATTTCATTCAGATTTATTTCATTCCGATTGAGAAGCCATCATATAACCGCACGCAGTGTCAGTGTGGGTTTTCTCTGGGTACTCCAGCTTCCTCCCACAGTCCAAAGACATGCAGGTTAATTGGTGACTCTTAATTGCCCATAGCTGTGAATGTGAGTGTGAATGGTCTAGTGACCTGTCCAAGGTGTACCCCGCCTCTCGCCCAGTGTCAGCTGGGATAGGCTTCAGCCTTCCTTGACCCCTAACAGGATTTCACCATCCAATAAAACTTCTGGGTCATCTAGATTAAAGATAAATGAAATGAAATGAAAAATCCTTGTGGGCCATAAATGGCAATAAGCTCTAATTCACAACAACAGAAAAGAGTGATGTACAAAACACCATAGATATGACATTTACACTTGTGCATCACATCCTGGTAGTAATTACTGCAGTGTTGTTAATATGCCCTCACAAGCCCTGTGTTTCACAAAGTGCCATATTCTCTATTGCATCAACAACAATAATGTTTTAATGCCTTTAATAGTAAGTGTGTGTGTGTGTGTGTGTGTGTGTGTGTGTGTACAGCTCTGAGGGGTAATTGATCACTGGGTTGTCGCCATGGGCTAACCAAGTAGCCTGCCTGACATGAATGTAATTACTTGTTGCTGTAGGAAACTTACATGTAACATGGCAACGAGTTACATGTCATTATGTGGGAATAATGCAGGACAATGGAATTATGTGACCCACTGACCAGTGCAGAGGATTTCTGACGTAATTGCTTTAAAATCGATGTTGATATATTGACAGTTTTCAATTCTAATCGTAAGGTGATTGTGAGAAGGCTGACGAGCAACTGGACGAGGAGAAGGAGGCGAAACACAGAATCAAATATTCAGCAGCTCAGATTGTTTTAGAATATTTTCGGGCACTGTGGCTCTTACTGTATTTCGCCTCAAGAATTACATCCGCACAGTCCACTGTGAACATAGCTCACAGCATCATCTTAATAAAACTCACCATAACAATCCCCTGCTACAGTATATGCTTCAACCACCCTCTTTCCCTACGGGTACAGCCATACAGTATACTGTGTTGCCAGTATTTGCATTATCTAATACTCAGTAAATATATAGTACGTGCCTCCATGCAAATTTTATTTTGTTGAATTCACACAGTATGTGCTGCTGTCTTTTCCTCCACTGTCCACATGGCAAACAATGTGATATTGTAGTTCTTATAAACAACCCTGTCCCCTTCCAGCACAAATACACAATAAACACACACACAAACACACACACACAGTGTGCACTCACAGGACTTTTTTGTTTTCCTTCCTGCGCACAGTGAGGCCAAAGGGTTTGTGTGTCATCTCCAGTGTGTTACTGATGGGGCTGGAGGGGTTACTGTTGAGGCTGTTGATGTGCTCATGGGGGACTTCAAACCTCCGCCTGTGGGCATCATAGATCTGAGGAGAAGAGAGACAGAGGAGAGAAACAACCACACAGGCTGTGTGAGTGTGGCCTCGTATCTCACGGTCATGTTCGTACTTTGGAGTGCACATCGCTATTTCTGTCCCCTTTTGTTCTGTGCAACATTCGTGTTGGACATGCTTGATAAAAAACAACTTTAGGAAGTAATTCAACGCGACTAGACTTATCTCACATTTTGCTCTGTTGATGTCTAAATGTGTACGTGTGGATGTGAGTGTGAAGTTGTGTGCACGCAAAGAAGGTGTTTAATGGAGATGGTGTCTGTCAGTGTGTACCTTGAAATGGAGTCGATTGTTTGACTGCATTTCCGCGTGAAATGACAGTTCCTGTATATCAGCCCCAAATAAGGAAGGAGAGGCCATTCTCTTCAGCTGGGCTTTCCTTACTGCAAAATTAAAGACAACACACAAGGTTATTAAAGGTTATATTACAGGTGAAATGTTCATTTTAAGAAGTAAACCACATTTTGCTTCTTAACTCCCAAAATGAAGATGAAATGACAAAAAAACAAACAAATTTCTTAATATGGAATAATAGTGACAGTGTTATGGTCATTGTTTTAGTCGATAAGCCAATATGGTGATCATATTAGCCTGTTTCTTCTACAGCTGGTGGGTTGCTGTCCAAAAGTGGGCCATGGGTCCATTCTGAATGGTGTCCAGTTTTGACGCTCAATATATTTTACTGTGTGGACCTTGAATGAATTACTAAGGAGAAATCTGGACCCTATGGCTGGACCAGTTGGGAACCACTGATTTACACTGTCCAGGTCCTCCACCAAAACTGTATATAAAACTGACTTAAGTCAGTTCTGTGGTTTTAGGCACTGTGATAATCTTTATTTTTTAGCGGTTTAAAGTTTAATGGGAAATAATAATATTCCCTCTCTTGCTGATAGTTAGGTGAAACGATTCATACCTGTATATTACTATATCTGTATCTTGACACTGAAGGGGTCGGCAGTTCGATTTAGGCAGCAAAAGTACTTGGTAATGTTTAGGAAAAGACTGCAGATGTCGCTAAAAAACAAACAAACCCTGCTCTGATTGGCACAAACATCCTGGTAAGAGGGGGTCAACGGTTAGGTTTAGTCAACAAAAAATACCTAGTTATGTTTAGGAAACCATTAGTCACTTGAGGTGACTAACGTAAGTGGTCAGGGGTTGGGTTTAGGCCAGTGGTTCCCAACTGGTGGGTCACAGTCCAACAGTGGGTCACAGGTCCATTCTGAATGGACCGCAAGTCACTCGCAAATGTGCCAAATTTGACAAAAAACACACTTTATTTTGAAGTACAGTGAATTTATGGTACAGAGCTTTTACTTTGAAGTGCCGCTTACTGCTGAGGAGTGAGTGGCTAACAGAAAGCTATTTCACAGAGACAGCAAACTAGCTCAACGACATGGCCGAACATGAGTATGATTTAGAATATAATAAACTGTGTGGACCTTGAACTAATGACTAAGGAGAAATCTGGACCCTGTGGCTGGACCAGTTGGGAACCACTTGTTCAGGCAACAAAAGTACTTGGTAATGGTTAGGAAAAGATCATGGATGTCACTTAAATACACCCAGCTTTGAGTGGTACAAGCATGGCCAGAGAGGCAGTGGTGTGTCCCCAGTGGTGTAGTGGTAGTTGATGAGGTGGGTGTACTACAAGGGTAGAGTGGCACTAAGTGTATGCTCTTCTCGAATACTACTCTCCTGGGCCAAAGTTATGTTTCTTGGACCCATCAGCCTCCACTTTATGCCCTTTATGCCTCGGTTGTTTTGAGCATCTTATAATCACGCGGATGGGTTTACATTGGAGTTGGGGGGAAGCCCCGTCTGTCTCACACAGATGCTAAATTGTACCACACTGGGGACACTGGCTTAGTATTTTAGTGTTACAACAACACATTGTGGTCTCACAGGGGGTTGTATGCCGGTTTGTATGGTTTCCTGGCAACATCATGGTGACAACAAGACTCCCAGAATGTCAAACTATTCCTTTAATATAATATCTCTGACTGATATTCAGTATTAATATTCAAGAGTTGGTAAACGTGAATGGTTTATTAATGAAACAGCAGGCCCCGCTGACATCCAAGCTCTAGAGAGTAATTGTTGAATGAGCTGTGCATGAGCAGCATTAGTTATGGCAACATAAATGCATTGAGAAACAAAACATTTAATAATCATGACAAATACATGTTCCCTACAACAATTAGTAAACTGCATAACAATAACAATAACTGCAACAGTCCTTAGTTCAAGCACTACGCTTCAAATTCATCAGGTGAACTGGGATGAGAATTCCTTCAAACGCAGATGTATTCCCAGGTTATCCATTTACCAGTATGATCAAAGGGTGCAATATGCTCACAGAGTCCACAGTTGCCTCAGAGTTAAATGTGGATAATTTGCATTGTAGCCTTGAGTGATACTATGTCAGGATGCATGTAAAAATACTTGAACACAGTTAAAATTATATAAGAAGGAGCGCTTTCATTTTTCTGTATTGGTTAAAGTCCCTGTTGAGTAACATTTAGCCTATCTCAGGCAGACCGGGAAAAATAATGTTACTTTTCAGTATAAGCATTTGTCACTTTTCAAGTTAAACACCTTTGTTACACAAAACAAGCTCCAGAATAGTTTTTTTGTCTTTAATAAAAAAGTTCTTATGCTGTTCGAACAATGTGATGGAAAATGTCGCCGTTCAGACTTGATATAAAATGTTTCTTCTTTGCTTTTACACAATAAGTGAGTTCACATGAGGCAGTGAAATCAAGCAGAAAATGGAAAAACCTGCATGCTACAAAGTCAATCATGTTTTCTGATATGCCATCCATGTCATATTTCACAGGAAAGCATGCCTCGGGCAAAGTAAGTATAAAAAGAAAAGCTATGTGAGGAAGACAGACAGGTAGACAGACAGGTTGAAGGAATGCGGAGCAGTCAGAATTAGAAAACAAGCTAAATAGAAAGCCGTATGATTCCACCAGTCAGAGACCACATGAGCGGGAGTGCAGGGCACAGAGAGAGGAAATGGGGATTTACCGTAAGGATTTGGCTCCTCCACTGATTGCACTGTGTATCCATGGTTGGTTGAGAAGAAACACCAGGGAACATTTCTCTCGTCTAGTGGGCTCCAGCAGCATCCACGCCGCTCACATCCTTGCTGTTGGAGTAGAGAGGATGATGTTGGTGTCATTATCATCATCCACATTACCATTATTGTCATTGCTGCTACTATCATCATCGCTATCTTACAAATAAATATAATCACGGTAAAAGTCCTGTCACAATTGATAATGTCAAAGATTATGATTTCTAAGAGTAAGTATTAAGCTGTAAGAAGAACCAGTCATTACGTAATCTTCGACTCCAGCTCGATGCCAAATCTGTTTACAGTCCATGGATGAACCGTCTCCACAAACTTAATTTTTGCATTTTTGGAAATGATGATGATGACTCATACCTTTGAGGCTCCAGCATCAGGGAAACAGTCCACTCTCTCAGCCAGAGGAATGGTGGGACACTGAGGAACGAATGCATCAGTAGCTTCTGCCAAAAGATGAAATGTTTACTTAACACAGAAAATCAAAGTGAAAACCCAATCTTACATGATAAACTACTGAATAGACTCATTAAAGGTTCATGTCTATGTGAGCAATGACCTGATAGTTCCCCCCAATGAGAGAAACAACATGACTAGTCATTTCAGTAAAGCCCTGTGGTGGCTGTAGTGACGATGAGAGCAAAGGAAGACAAGGTGATTTTTGTCATGGATCAACATCCCTCTTGTACAAGGTGGGACAAGAGTTAAGTTGATTTTGGGTTTTGTCAGCCTGGTCCGGTGAACCAGCTTAAACTGGTTTGAATTTTATACCGAACCAGCTGAACTGGCATTTGGTGTGATGACACATTCTGGCACGGCATCATGGCGGTATATCCAACTTGTATTACTGAGCTGAGCACTGCAACATGAAGGGGATCAAATTTCAGTAGAGGTGGGAGGGGGGGAGAGCGGTGCATGTTGTGTTTGTTTACTAGTTAGTTCATGTGTTTTTTGGGGGTGATGGGATGAGACATGGCAGAGTTAAGCACCGTTTAACACTTTCGGTATGGTACCTTTGGAATCAAAAGTAACCCTTCAGACATGGTACCATTAGTCCTTCTCAGGCAAGCTCAGGGGTTTAGTGTCGCTAGTGCCCACAGGAACGATGCCTCACAGCGCTTTTTCTTCAAGTGAGGATTGGGATATATGCAGTTTATATAATCCAGTCGAAATTAATATATATTTTTAAACACTTGAAGATCCACTCATTACTATAATTGTATGTCATCCAAGAGACACAATATAAACCAAAGTAATGGTCAAAGTTGTCACAGTGAAATTTAAGGTATGCTGATGGATTCACGTTGTCAACTCATACACTGAGAAACATTACAAGTAAATGTTCTTCCTTAAAAGTTGATCAGTTGATTGCCCAATCAACTCTGTTTGGTACCCCAACAGAGGGAGGACCAAAAATGGGGACGGTACGGAACGGTTCCATCGGTACCATCCACAACTTTTCACAGTTAAAACGGAAAAAAGCGTACCGAACTGTACTGTACGGCACCGCTCAGTGGAAACGGGGCTATCGTCCTCAAGAACACTAAAACTGGAAGGCAATGACAAATGATGCTGTAAAGCCGATAGGATTGTCAAAGAAAGCTTCTATGTGTTGTTTTAATCGGCAGTTCCAAACAACATTTTATTTTTAAGAGGTTTTTTTTTTTTTTTTTTTGGATTCATAGAAAAGCTTCAGTGTGATGGGGAGGACGACATGTAGCAAAGGGCCATGGCTTGGAATCAGGACATAGGACATATCCTTAGTATGTGGGGCACCCACTCTGCTAGGTGAACTACCGGGCGTACCCATTATATGTTGTTTAATTTGGAGGCATTTTTTCCACAGGCAATTTGTCACATCCAAAATAATATAAAGTTAAGTGCCAGGTTTCTTGAACTATGGCTGAAAATATATTAGTTGCCAGTTGATGTCTGTTGATGACCGACTAACTACCAACTAAATATGATGTTGATTTTTCAATGAGCTAGCTTGCTAACAGTTTCACAAATACAGGGGGAACATGGTGAAGGTTTAGGGCAAATGTTCTAAGTCTTTTTTTTTTTTTTTTTTTGTTTACATATGCATTTATGTGTGTGTAAGCATGTTCACCTACCATCTTTAAGGACCCCAGGTTCTCCAGTGACATATAGAACTATGAGAGTGACGGCCACCACAGACATCAAGGCAAACATGACCATGAGAGTCACCTCCAAACCTGAGAACCGCCTTCTTCCCATCTAAAACACACACATACACACACACACACACACAAATGCACACGTACACACATTCACAGAGACTGATTACAAAGGCCAACATCATTAACACCCAATAATGACACTAAGTTTACTAAAGGCAAGGTCTCAGAGGTCTCAAAAAACGTCCCTGCTTAATGAGGCCCATTGGCGGGACACACACACGCACACATGCACAAAACAGCCAAACTATAGTAAACACACATATATTTTCCTTGCATTAACCTTGGACTCAGCAAAAGCTTTCTGAAGTTAAAAAAAACCTAACTAAATTGAAAATCAGAGTGTAAAGGAAAGACACGAAAAAGAGCAAGACTTTAAAAAAGAGGAACAGGGAGTCGACAAAACTGCCCGACAGGCCGGGCCTGGTCTCTGCAAAGGCACCCATCATATCACTCAAGCAATTAGGCTTCACTCCAATGTACTCTTGGAGACAAAAACAAGGTGAATGTCTGTATGTGTGTGGGTATGTGTCTATTTGGGTGAATGAGATGCTTATAGCCATCCTGTTTAATGTGCTGTGAAGAGCAGGCGAGGGCAAAGAGAGAGACAGAGAGTCAAACGTGTGCATGCCCCCCTGCACACCATGCAGAAGCACCAAAAAATCGCCTGCAAACATGCACTGTAACACGGAGACACACAAACAAACACATTCATACAGTACAAATCTTTTAGCCTCTCTCTTCTTCCATTTAGCCTAAGTGCCCAAAAATAGCTTCCACCCATAACGGCATATCGCTTTACTTCTCCTGACACACACCCACTCTGATTCGTGTACATGAACGCACACTTATAAAAAAAACAGGGGCACTTTATAGCTGCACTGTTGAGGTTCCCATGAGTGCAGGCAGTTTAGAAAATGATCTGATATCTCATTTGAACTTCTACTTAATACCTTGAGTTCAATGGTTACTTTGAGACATATCCTTAAAAGTTAATGTCAGCCCAAGAGGAGGTTTGTCACCTGTAATTATGTCGAGGACTGACATTAATAAAAAGAAGGAGACAAAAAAAAGTGGATCAGTGCAGTGTAAATCTGAGTAAAAAAAAAATCTACACATCAGTATTCAAAACCCTCCATAGACATCTGTTCCTCGGGGCTGCATTGCAATTGGCGGTGGATTATTTACTCTACTGGCAGAGAGCTACACATAACCAACATTATCATTAACAAACTTGGTCACAGTGTGTCCACAGTAATATGGATAGAGCAGCATAATGCAAACATCTGCAAGCTACAAAAAGTCAAAAGCAAGTCTGAATCTATAACAAGTAGGATTTTTGACTGCAATAGTTGTGATGCAGTTCTCACTAGCATCACAGTAAAAATCTATCATACAACATCATATTGTAAATCATGCTGCATCATCAGCATATGATATAAGTGTAATACAAAGTAATGATTATTTTTTTGAGTTGAGCAGGTAGACAGCCCACAGCTACAGTCTTACCTTGGCTCTCTCCGATGTTCAGGGCAAAGTGCTACTGAGTTCAAGTGAGATAGCACCTTATAATCCACAGGATGTGTTGTGGTCATAGGACCTTACCACTCCTTTACTGCGTAGTTTGTGCGTATATGTGCGTGTATGTGTGTACACGCACATTTAATAGTCTGAGCATGCAGACCCTGAAGTCATAAAATGTCAGATAACCATCTACAGTACGAGAAAACAACTGTAGCCTGAAATCCCCCATATCAGCTTGTTATAATCAATCCCGCTATCCTGTTTGAGTCCACAAAGCCGTGTATGTGTGTGTTCTTGTGTTTTGATGTGCATACTTGTAGGGTGTAATTTACTCAAAGATTGTTTTGTGTGGTTTTTTTTTTTATGTATGTAAGCTGTGACTTAGCACGAGCAATCTTTACCCCACTGTTACCACATCACCAATCATGTACACACACACACACACACACACACATGCTGTTTAGTTGGTTGCAATGGAAAGAAGCACCTCAGTGGAGTATCTGAATGTAATATCTTGGAAATCCACTGTGATCAAAGCTTCGTAGTTGTTTGTGTATTTTAATATCACATGATTATATAACAGATGATACAGCAATATCTGTATTGTTATAAGTAGCAGCAGTCAGGTGTTGTAACTTAACATGTTTGATCAGAGATCTTCTACTGGGATTCTGGACAGTGGTGGCATCCAAGCCAGATGCTGAAAAGATGTATTGGTCTCTGCTGGATGCTTATATGAAATTTTTACCCCCTCTATAGTCTCTGTAAATAGCCACTCACTTTCTGATTTCCACAATACGTCCGTTGGCTGTCTCCTCTGCCCTTGTGATAACAGCAGCTCAAAAAATGACACCACAGTTGGCTGTTCTTTCACTCATTAAAGCTGTAAAAACAGCTCGAGCATGTTCTACGCGTACAATCAAATAGCTGCTGTGGCGTTTATCTGATCCCTAATCAGTTCAACCACAGATTGATCATGTAGGTGAGGGTGCATTGATCTCTCTGGGTGTGTAAGCAGCGTAAGTTAGAGTCAGTGAAGGCGATAAAGTCCCTTATCTCGCTCATAGTTCATAAATATGGTCCATCAGTGTGTTTGTGTTAGGTGATGTTGCAGTTTCTGGCTAACATTAGCTGAACTGTAAATTGGATAAGCGCAGAGGTTAGGCTTCTTTTAGCATTCTTGGCAATTACCAAACAAATTCAGGTGCATTACTTCGGGCAGACCCTGGTTTGCATGCACCAGGAGTAAACCAAGACTGGTGGCAATCAGATTTGTGATCTGGCCAAAAAGGATTTATATATGTGGCGAAATTAAAGTGTATTTAATCTTATCTGGATTTTATGAGGTCCTTGAAATGACAGGTGTAAATGGGGTTTACGAAGACCAGGTTGTCACATCACCTTTAAAAGTGGCCATTCTAAACAGCTATAAACACTTTGAACACTAGCTCTGCCCCTAAAAGACCAAATGTTATTCGTTGGTGAGATTTCATTTGTTGCTTAGTTGCACTAAAGAAAAGAAAACAAAAGAAACAAACAAACAAACATGAAACTCTATTAGCAGCTGCACCTCGTCAAAATAAATCAACACCTATATGACTGGACTGTGTGGCAATTTAATTTGACACAGGAAGTGACCACGCTCAGCAGTCAGACAGGAGTCACGTTACAAACCAATCACAGCAAACAGATATCTTTCCCTTCTTCTGTAAATATTCAGTCCGATAAATACGGAAAAGTTGATCATGTTAGTGCAGGGCTACCCAGAGCTTTACATCTGTCCCACAGACGATAGGCCTACACACTTATAAACAGCACCTGGAAGAAGATCAGCTCTGCACTCAGGATTTCAGGTAAATAGGCTATACGGTGCTTGTTAAGGTAGCTTAGCAACATCAGATACAACCTGCTACCGCACTCCTGAAAGCTGGCACAGAAAAGTCACAAAAATAGCACCCAGAGCCCGACCTCGCGTTTTCCAGGCAGTTAAAGATATGATGTGTACATGTCGGGCAGGAAATCCAAAGTGTGGGATCATTTTGAGAAGGTGAAGGACGAACCCAAGGTGATATGTAAACTCATCTTCATTGGTCGACTACAAACATGACGTATCATCTGAAACATGGAAGTAGCTACATGCCCATTAGCCACTTAGCACAATCATTACTGCTTTGCCCACAGTGTCATTAACAGGCGGCTCGCTAAGTGTGTGACGTGCACTTGTAGATAAAATATAGGCCTATATTAATGAAGGTTCATTAGTACAGTTTTGTATTTCTCTGTAATGTAGCACAGTGTTAACAATGTTACTGATACTATTCTTTCTCACACCTTCAACTCAAACCATTGTGTTGCCCCGCCCAAAATACATTATTTAATAATTAAATTAATGATGTACACATGTGGGTCGAATAATGTCCCTAAATGAGGACTACTGGTCAACTAGGAAAATTCTAAGTTCAGGGCATTCCTACTGAACACATGATTTGTTTCGAACATAAGTCTTTAACAAATAGTAAGAGCAGAGTACAGAGCTCTGCTTGTAATCATAGAACTGTAGTCGCTATGTGTAACTGTTGCTCAATTTCACACAGTCTTTGTCTCGTAACAATGCTCTCTCGGCTTTGTGGGTGAAGACAGATGACTGCACCATCTGTTGTGACACTAACACAATGCCACAATCATCATCATGTAACAGGTCAGCAGCAATGATGAACAACAGTAACCTCCTCTTTGGTCATCACGCATGTGGGAGATGTTGGGACCCACAGCAATCTGAAGCAGGCAGTTGGCTTTCTGCCTTGAATCGGATTTATTTATTTATCTTTATTTATCCTTCATTAAGCCAGGAGGGGCTCATTGAGGTACAAATCTCTTTTTCCAGGGAGTCCTTTTTGTCTTGAAAAGAGATTAAATACGACAGAAGGCAGTCTCCAGTTGTTCGACAGGCATTTCTTTCTGAACATGATATCACGAACATAAAGTTTCCTGGGTCTGGTTTTTGAAGTGCCAAAAGAGAGTGAAGGCTCTGTGGTCCAGCACCACCGGGTCTGTGCTGCCTTCAAAGGCAGAGCTGGATCAACTCTGCACTTTCTGTTGATTTAGTTTGTCAGGCTAGAAAGGACTGCAAAGCTATGGTTTAAAATGTGTACAGTGTCTACGGCCAGACATCCATCCATGCCAAGGCACTCTGTAGTTTGGTGATGGCGTCAGTCCATGTAATCCCAATAAACAGAATGGAGAGGATCAACTGAATGAGCTATTCACTATCTAGAGACACAATCATCTGCTCTTCCAGCACAGAGCTTGATTGCCTTGGACTACGCGATCGAAGAAGCCAAGATAAGCTCTGGTTGAGTGTGTGTGTGAGTGGTTCCATCTAGGTGAGACAGCGAAAGACAAAGGGCTTTCATAACAGTTACCATAATTTGGCTAAGATGCATGGGTGCAATGATGACTTAACATCTTGTGGGTGTGTATGTACATACACAGAAATGTAGGCGTCCAAGTCCGTCTCTGATCATTCTGCTCACTCCTTTTCTCGCTCCTTACAAATCCAATACCACTGCCATTGCCAATTTCAGGTACTCTCCCTCTAGAATGCAGCGCCAGCCGATTTCAATAGAACAAACTGAAATTGGCAATTCACTCCCCTGTATCGATCCAGTCACTTTAAGACTAGGCACTCAACATTGAGAGCTGCCAACCAACCAAGATTATATAAGTGTGTTCATGCGTGTGTGTTGCTATTTGTGTGCATCAGGGACTGGGAACCCTCACCAGCATTCTGGAGAGTCAATACCTGGATTGTCTCCTTGATTTCAGATCTGCATAAACCGAGATGTTATTAACTGCTAAAATGTTTCTCCACTGGTATCATTTACAGTGCCAGGAAAAAATGAATGAAGCACTTTGAGTTTTCTGCATTTTTGCATGATTTAGCTGTAAAATGTTGTCTGATATTCTTTAAAGTCACAATAATGGACAAACTATGTCCCACTGACATAATTACATTAAAACAATTTAATTATTTGGTGTATTAATTCCATTTTTGCTTGAACATTCAGGTCAAGTCAAGTTAAACAAAAGTTTCTTGTATGAGACCAGGAGGAACTTGTTGACCATTTCCCTTTACAAAACTGTTTAGTTATATTCAGGTTTTTTGGAATATCTTTCATGAGAGGCATTATTCAGTTCATGTTACAGAATCTCTGACTGATTTGAGGACATTTTTGTGTTACATCTCACAACCTCTGCAGCTGTCCTTAAAACTTAAGGTGCTTTCAGACCTAGAGTCTGCTTGCTTTGGTCCGAATCAGGCACTAATTTTGTAGCAAAGCTGCGTAATTGCTGAGAGTTGGTTTGTGTTCTCACGGCGTCCAGGAAGTATCTTAAGGCAGTACAGGAGGAGGTGCACATTAATAATCCTCCTGGACTGTACCACACTCATTTTTAACCCAAACAATGTGTCATGTGACCGCAGTTGGTTCAGATCGAGATCAGAACACGTTCTCACCACAAACAAACTGCACCAGAGTTTGTTTGTAACCACCTCTTCAAGAAGGTCTGCCATTGTTGTGATGCGCACCGGAGTGTGATTGCTGTGTTCACACCTGCCCGAACAAACCACACAAACTTGAGTTGGATCATACCAAACAGAGCAGGTGTGAAAGCACCCATAGACTTGTAACAATATGTGTTTGAGTGCATTGTTTTCTTAATTATTAAAGGTTGTTTAAGGCCAGGGGCAGCAAAACAACTTTAAATCATGGAGATCCCTACTCCATGCTTCACTGAAAGGTGATAATGTGTGTTGTTGTACTGACGTAGTGTGTTTACTTTGAAAAAGACTGTGTGTAAACAGAAGACATTGCATGTAACAGGCATAACTTGACACGGTGTCCCAGAATGCCAGCAACCAACACACCCAGGGTACCTTTCAAGTTTTATCTGGAGGGTCCATGACCAAACGTCAATATATGACGAGGTTGGAGTGAGAATGTGGTGCATAAATTGTGACCTCAATGACTTTGAGATACAGTATGAAGACAGATTGTTAAACCCAGTATAGATTTTAAGAAGCTGGAAATTATATTCAGCCACAAAATAAGCCTGAAAAGCTGGAAATCAGAACTAAAGTACAGAGAGTTGCATAGAGATGATACACCTTCTGATCTTGTTGCACTGGTGTGAACTGGCACGTTTTTAGAACCTTGCAGAACGGCGCACTGCAAGTAGTTGCCTGTTTCAAGTCGTCTTGTCTCAAATCAAGGCACAACGAACTACTAACTACGATTTCAACTCATTGATGGGAAAATCTGTCTTGTAGTAGCTTTTGTAGAGGTCATTTGCGCAGGGGTTCACCTACATACAAATACAAACTTCCTATTGGGATTTTTAATTTGTGTGTTGTTTTACATAGTCTGTATATTTGTTTGTTATAGCGACCACAGACCACATTGTATTGATGTTTAATACATAAATAATTCCAAAGGGCACACTTTCTTTCTCTTAGCATTGTAGCGCTTAATCACATATGGATCTTTATTTTTCTTTTTTTATTTCATGACTTTTGTAACATTTTATCATCAACATTTCCGTATTGTAACTGTTCTTTGAAGCACAATAAAACACTCAAGGACTCAATATAATAAATGTGTTTATATTGACTTTTATCTGGCCTCAGCTCTCTGACTATGTGTCTCTACACTAAATTATTTTTCCAGCGATAAATGCCATGTCTATTAATAATTGAGCGGATGAAGGTATAGCAAATGTTCACTCTGGAAGAATACTCTTCTAAAGCACAATCTCAGTCTAATGTTTTCAGAGATCTACATCTGCATTCATCCAAACAAACCTCTCCACAAAGAATGACAAAATAATCACCATGCTTCTGACAAAATTGCAAGTCTTTCTACTGCTCTGCCATTTAGAAAGGCACATTTTGTAATAATTTGTTTGCACAAATCAGTAATTCTTACCCTTGAACTGCTAAATAAGAGTGCACGAATCACTCATTTTTTCCCCTCACATTAATGCTCTCTTAAATGAAACTGAGGTTAAAGGTTTGTTTGGCTTGTTTGAACACCAAGAGTATTAGTGGCAGGCGAGCAGCTGTGTTTAAAAGGGGACCTATAATGCTTGTGTATTTTGGGTTTCCACTAGAACATGTTTACTTACTTTAATGGTCAAAAACACTTTATTTTCCTAAAGCTGTCTATGCTGGAACACTTGCATTCACCCTCTGTCTGAGATGCCCTATTTTAGCATCGATCTCCTTAAGACCCTCCTCCTGAAGAAGCCCAGTCTGCTCTGATTGGTCAGCATTTCCGGGTCTTCTGTATCTCAGCGTCTCTGCAACGTCATTGCAGCTGGGTAATGACTGACAAGGAGAATCACAAAACTTTCTACCATGAGAAAAATCCCTCAGTAAAAGCAGCAGCACATATTCCAGTTGGAATACATGTAGTAGTATACTAGCAGCCAGGAATGACTGTGTATAACGGCACTTTCTCCCCTTAAAGATACAAAATAAAAGCTTCTAATTTAACACTACCGGACATGTTTCAGCTGGAATATGATCCAGAGCTGTGGAGAAATTAACGATATTAACAACCAAGATTTCATGTTTCCCTCATGTTAGCATGTGGCTACATGTAGCAGTGTAGGCTACCTATTTGATATGTATATGTATATGTATGTATAATTCACAGCAAAACCAAAGTGGAGGATCTTCCATTTCTGATCTATTATTGGTGTTACTAACTAGGGGTGTAAATCACCAGCTTCATCATGATACAATATTATATAGATTTGTTTGGATGACGATACGATGTTTGCCAATATCACAAAGTCTGTCACGATATGATTTTGATTCGATTCAGGAGCCTGCGATCGCTATGACGCAATATCATATGCCCATCTAACACAATCATTTACATCAACTCACAAAAACAACTAGAATATGATTTGACCATTTTATTTCTGAGCTCTTCCAGGTATCAGGCATTTAAATGAAAAACAGTATCTTAGTAGTATCTTTAAGATGACCATATGGATCGATGTTTTCATTTTGCATCGATGTAATTGGATCGTTAATCAATGAATCGATGTATTGATGTGGATCGATGTATCGTTACACCCCTATTACTAACCATCTTGCAACAAGCTGTCTGTACAGTGTGCCTCATGGCATGTCTCACTGGAGCAGAATGTTTTAGTTCACTGCCTTAACTTTCGGTCTTGTCTCGCAGCATTTCCCCCTGATGCCACCAAGCACCGTTAAAGTATAATGTTGACTGGCCGCATATCATGCTGATGTTAAAGGACGGATTTTTTCGTCAGAATCTGATGCCACAAGTCACTGTCCAAGTGCCGGATTTCGACGACTTTGGAGTGAGACCAGGTTGGTATATTTTATTTTCCAAAAATAATAGCGTAGTTCGATATTGGTATTGTATCTGTATTGTTTGGTTCGTAATGTTTACCAGAGCTGAAAGCCTCATATGTTTCAACACTCATTGTTTGCTCTTTCCTGGCTTGGTCTCTTAAGTCGCCTACACACAGACTGCTGTTTAATACAGTGTACTGAAAGTCATGCAAAATGTACATGATGAGCCACAAAGAGTGTTAATTGACATTGAGATGTATGGCAGTGCAGTAGTTTTGACCGTTAACCCTTTGACAACCTGTTTGTACAATACAACAGTCAGTTTCTGCACAGAATACTCTCCTTCAGGGCACAACCAATGCTATTGGCATATTTTTCTGTCCCAGTAATAATATATGCATGCAAGTTTTAACCCTGTTACCTGCTGGGGTCCGAAGCATTCAGCTGTTGTCTCAGTGCACCTCTCTATGCACTTGATCTGCAGCCCCTCCTTTGTTGATTCACTTCTTCACATTGGGAGTTCAACTTTACACGTCCGAAGTCCATCTGTTGAATCCAGTGCATCAGAAGCTATCTTAAACACCAGCCCATTTTGTTTCCCCCACATATCATTTCCCTAAACTGGTGAATTCACTGCATGGATGGGTGCCATTGCTCAGAGACTTTGTACTGTAGCAGTGTTGGGTTTTGTTGACTCAAGGTTTCAACACAGCAATCTGCTGAGTCCAGAGCAGTCTCTGTAACCACCAAGAGTGAGTCTGCTACTTACCTTTTATGCATTTGCTTAGCAAAACAAAATGTCAATGTGACAATCGACACATCTTTCGATCTCCTTTCAGTATCCTCGTGTTGCAGCATTTTCACATCCAAGGTAACCCCAGTGATAAAGACTCTCTCTGAAGGAATCTGCAAATAACAAGTTGTGTCCTTAAAAACCCTGACCCTATTTTATAGGCCTCTGTTTGAAAATTGCATACCCATAATGAAATGAATATATCTCTGCAACCACAAGGTCTATTTGAATACTATTAGTGTCATGGTAAAGGGAACACTTGTCAGATTGGTTAAGATGTGTAAATATCAGTATATGTGTTATATGTGAAGAGTAAATGAAGATGGCACACAGCACAAATGAAATATTTTGAGGTTCGCCTAAGAAAAAAAAGCATTTTTAGGATGAGTATCCCTTTGGAATGATGCAGCTGCAGCTCTAAACCTCTATCACATCATGGTACAATATGTGAACATTAACTCTGCAAAGGTTGATTCTGATAAAGTGAAGCAGAACAATATAACAGAAAATTCAGGCGAGCTCTCCAAAATTGCACCATGTTTGCATGTGATTTTTGTCATGTACAATCCTGTATCTTTCATTTTTTGTTTCTGTAAATCCCTATTGATGTTTAGGGTGTACACATACAACTGTCTGTTTCGTTTTTTCACTATTTCCCACTCCAAACTGACCAATATGCACCTACTACATTTGAACCTGAGTTTCTATTCTGAGCTTTGGAGGCCCGTATCTCCATGACGGCTTGGCCGATTTGAGTGAATGACACCTCGTTTGATTTGTTAGAGCCAATAGAATGATACTATACCCACCAAAACGAGATTGACAGCGCTGTAAGCCAATCAGGGTCAGCAGAACGCGTTGTGGGGAGATGTTGGCTGCTGTGAGTGGTCATTGTTTTTGTTCCCCCAGAACCTTTTTTTCTGCCCGGATTCATTTGAATGACGGACAACTTCCGGTAGTACCCGAACGGAGAGTGAAACAACAGCAGAATGGGCTTTTTACGGCGAAATTAATAAGGTAAGAGCCATATTACAAATATATTTTGGCAAAGAGATTTCTGTTGTTGTTGTTCTTTGGGCTGTAGCTCTGTGATGATTAAAGGGAGAGTGCTTTGGACACCAATAATGTGTGGTCGAGTTAGAGCCCGAAATATACCGAGTGGGTCGGGATATCGGTGCTGTTTGGAGTTGTTGGAGTTAGTTGTTGTTGTTGTTTATTTAGTTGATGTTAAAACTGAGTTTGGGGCATGTAAAAAGTTTTTTTACAGCATTGTAGCTGAGGTTCTGCTGTTAAATTTGATGGGCAACATCACTATATTCTTCTGATCAGTGTATTGATACACACCAGGCCTTTATTAGCAGCTCTAGAGGTCCCCCTACTGAGGGACTTTAGGGTTCAACAAGCATCTATGTGCTGCTGGTGGAAGTTAATGGTGGGTGTTGGGGGTAATTATAGTCCATGCAATCATGCTACTCAACTCTCAGATAACACCATATTGATTAACCTGATGCCCTGAGCTTTTTGTATGTGAGAATGAAAGCATGATACAGGCACATGAGGCTGGTACCATAGACAACAGTATGGATACCATATATTCCAAATGTCTCAATGATGTGATTAGCGACACTGATTGGTGCTTTTATTGGCTTCTGATTTCCATTAAAGTGTGTTGGGTCTCCCACTACATCACCCGCTCTATGTCGTAGTATGGCTTGTGATGTGCGACGGGATAACCCCCTTCCTGACAGAGTTAAACTGCTGCCACGGGATGAAGTTTAGTGGTGGAAAAAATGATTATCTTTGCTTTCAGCCTCACAGACATCAAACCAAGGAAGTGGCAACATAACAATGAACTGTCTGTGTTGATATAGTCTTTCAACCTCTTTGGAGACAAAGTCATCAAGCAATTACACTGGGGTGTTGCAGTTGTTCTCTGTGTGCGATTCTCTGTGTGTGTGTGTGTTTATATGTGTGTGTGTTTGTAACTGTTATATCACCAATGACTGCACAAGCCATAATATGCAGGTGGCCTATCTAAGTGTTCCCATTATGCAGTATTCCCCATAAGCATGGCACAGATGTTAGACCCCTATGGGGGAGAAACAGCATATTGAATGAAGAGGAAAATGCATAAGCACAACTCTATTCTCTCTACTCTCCACACACACACACACACACACACACACACACACACACAAGGCTTCTGCTGCATCATTTCTAAGGGAAATGTCATCCATCCATCCCTGCTGCTGCTCTGCATGCTTTGACAGGAATAGACTCACACACACACAGACATATACACACACACTCTCTCACTCTCTCATAAAATAATGAGTTTGCTAACAACTGCCTGTGTCATGCTTTGATAGCTGCTTTAAATGCACCGTGCGCCGGATCCGGTATAATGATTAACCTCTATTTATTTGTGTGTGTTGTTATTCACGTTCGGTGCAAAGCTCACCAGTCGCTGCTATCTGTCGAAAGAAGGTCAAAGTGTGAATATTTCTAATATATCTCCTTCTCACTGTCTTATGTCAGCGGTGTTGTGAAACCCGGCAGTGACCTTGTGAACTCGTGAAGGCCTGGAGTTCAGTGGAGTTGTAGAGTATCGCACAGAAAGCCGAAAAGAAAAAAAAAAAAAAAAAAAAGGAGAGGGGGGGAAAAAAAAGTTCTCGCTCCCCTTTCATGTGTCGAGGTCTCAAATTTATTGCTGCTGCTGAGCTGCTCACGGTCTGCGGAGTATCAATATTTCATTATTTCATATCTGTGTGCTGAGCAGAAGAGGAAAGCGTGCTGTGTGTGCGTGTCAGTGTCTCTCTTTGTGTGCAAGTGCACATAAAAGATTCTTTAGTTCTTGGACTACTCCCCACTTTACCACCATCGTTCTCTCAGATTGCATAGCAGATTTAAAAGCTAATATAATCTGACAGCTAATTATCTTAAATTGAATGTGCTGACGATGGCATAATAGTCATGCCATTAAAGGATAAACAAAAACTCACAGTCATCCGTAGATCATTAATTCATTCTTAGTAAATGCACATTTTCTTCTTCGTTATCCCCACTGCAGCATGACAAACATCACAATCATTCAGACAGAGGTCAGCAAAAAACACTCATCACCTCCACAACAATCTTCTTATCTGGAGTTATGAGTGGCGCTGAGATTTTCAGGAAGAGTAAACTGACCTTTGTTGGCAGAAGTTTGGAGGATAACACTAGCCATAATTGTTGGGGCACTAATGGACAGGGCTTGTTTTATGCATAATGATTGATCTACATGCATTTAGCGGATGGCAGGCCGGCAGTCAGCGGATGTGAACCTGGGTTTACTTCCTTCCAGGGCTGGGCAATTAAATGAACATTAATCGAAGCCGACAGTCAGAACCTCTAACGGATGTAATCTTGCCCATGCCAGTAAACTTGTTTATTTTTAATTCTGTTAATGCTTTCCCCATTGTGTGTGTTTTCTTGCACTGTCCCCTTTATAACGTACTAATGCATGTGTAGTCACGAGACTCCGCCCCTTCCAGTCCGCAACCTTGAAGCAACATGGAGGAGAACTCAAATACTGGGCCAACTGAGCAACCTGAACAGCTTGTAGAGCCCGGTCTCACTCCAAAGTCATTGAAATCCGCCGCTTGGGCAGTGACTTGCAGCATCAGAAACCAACGAAAAAAGGTGTCCTTTAACATTGGCATGATACGCGGCCGTTTGAGGTATAATTTAACGGGGCCCTGTGGCATCAGAGGGGAATGCAGCAGGACAAGGACGAAAGTTAAGGCGGCGAGACTCCGAGTGGGGGTCCAACAAAACACCGACTTTCACCCGAGAGAGCAGTGTTTGCGTCCCATAAGACTCTAAAGCCATACCCTGTTCCTATTTCCTAAACCTAACCACGTGTATTTGTTGCAGAACGTCAACAACCAACGTACCTATGGTACCTTGCATGTCGTATGTTGATGTGGAAAGTCCATGACCAAACGTTGATATGTGAAAAGGTCGGAGTGAGAATGTGTTGGCTTGTACCAGAGAGAAATGCCGTGACCATCGCACATCTTGGCTTTTGTGAAGATGACATCAAACAGAGGGAAAATAAAATCTAAACACTGTATAAAAACTATTCAGCGACCAAAGGTAATACCACCAGTCTGTTTCAGTACTTGGAGCACAATCATGTTGCCAAATATGCCTCCACAAAGCAGCTCTTGATAACACGAGCATTTACAAAGGCTGCACAATATGAAAAAGATTCAAGAAGATTGAAAGAAATAACTGACGCCATTTAATACTACATTGTGAAGGATATGGTTCCCATAGCTACAGTGGAGCATAGTGGGTTTAAACACATTGTTAAAACCCTCGAAAGACGATACTGTGCCATGGCGAAAGTATGTTTTTGACCAAGCGGTGCCAAACATGTACAACTCATGTTGTAAAAAGTAAGTGATGCAAGTTTTTTTTCTACTTTTGACATGGCATTATCTTAAAAATATATTTGTTTACAAGAAGCAAAAGTTATTGTTTTCTACATTTCACATGACAATATTTAAAGTCATTTATTTTCTTTGCAAGAAATGCAAGTTTATTTATTTTCTGCTTTTTTTGGGGAACTTGCTTTTTACATTATGGCTAAAATGTGACCTTTTTTGTGAGATGATTTCATTTCAAGCAATGTGTGCTTTGATTTCAATCACCAAATATTCAGTAAATAACCATTAATAGTTCATCTGTGTGTGTTTCCTTCAATTATTTTAAATTCACAAAAGTAAGACATGCACTCTTTCATTAGAAAAAAAAAACTATGAGGGCATAAACCA